AGATGATTCTCTTTACATAGACACCAACAACTCTACTACTAACTAGTTGATTTTAGCATTTGTGTTTAGTCTGTTGTTTTTTCTGGTCAAATCTAAATTTTCGAGCGTGCATCTCCCAGTTTTCTTCCTAGTAAATCTTTGAGCGACGTGCATATTTTCTCTATATTAAACTATTACCGAGATTTCATCGTGCATGAATATATTCAGTGAAATATAATGAATGAATTGACAAAGAATCAATATACAATATTAGCATATTTGAGCTCAGGAAGTCTCAAGGATTACAACGATACCAATAAAAAGATGTTTTGAGAAATTGAAAAAATTTTAAATCTGAAAGTTTTAATTCTAAACTAGAAATAAAATTATTAAGGTACACTTTATTTCTGAAATGAAAAAATTCATAAAATATACTAAAAGAAATAGCTATAATTCATACTGTATAGAATAAAGAAAAATTCAAAGATCATTTGTATGTATTTTGAAGTCTATCTTCTCACATAAATTTTGGTAAAATTCTTGGATTAAGTTTGTAGATTGAATTTTGGCGGGGATTACATAATCTCTACATGTTAAATACTTAGAAAAAATATAAAGTATTTAAGTTATCTAACTCTTAAGCTCATTATTTAAATGTGTTAGCTTTGTATCAGTTAATATACAGATATATGATATGTAAAATGCTACATAGAGTTCCATTGAGCCCATGTTTCCATAGATGTATGGTGCTTTTAAAGCTAAAGTAGCTACCTAAACTGGATCTTTTAACAACCATATAAATGTATATACATATTATCAATAGAATCACAAAGGATCTATAGTATATATTTGGTTCAAAAGATAGATGGATGGTATGTCTATACATCAGAGGCTGATATGGCCATCAAAAATAAAATAGCCTCAGTTTTAATGGTGGTTTTCCAATAGAGTTTAACATAATGTCTTATTCAATATATCCTTAACAATATAGCATTTAAAGCACAATATTCTATGCTACTGACTTGAGAGAGCATTGTAGGATAAAAGAATATATAAGGCATATAAAAAGTAGGTATCCTAATGTAATAATCCACAACCATTACTCTTAAATAAAGAGGAAGAATTATTGGATTCAAATTAAGCTTTCACCAAGTAATATCAAATTTTGTGCATTATAAGAGCTTCTCTACACCAATTCACCACATAACCTAAGATACATGCAAGCAATAACAATAGTGAGGCTACAGAAGATTTAATTTAACCCATTAATTATCATATTGTTTTGATATAAATGTTGAATATTTCAATTTTACAGATGTGACATTTGATATTTTTGATCTAATAATATTATGGAGAACAGCAGCCACAACCAAGAAAATCTATACTATATTAACCAGATAGCAATATATAGAATCAGAATACATTGATTGATTATATCATGTGCATGTGTATATCTTAAAACAGCATGTAAAATGCTGTAATTCAAACCTCAATCTATACCAAATTTATGTATCACATTACTCCAGATATTGGGATTATTCCAGGACCAAATTGAATGATTGAGCATACGAAATGGAAAATAGACAGTTAAGCCTAAATATCTAAGAGCCCATTTGAAGTATCACCCAGGAAAAAAAAGAGTTTTTGATTGATCTATACCAAATATAATTGAAACCAAATAGTGTATATCATTGAAAAAATGAGATTTACCTAGTGATTATTGCGATCAAAAGACCAAACAAAGATAAAAAAAGACACAATGGTGCCTAATCATATATCCTAATGCTTCTATTTGAACTATAGGCTTTGGTATCAGAAAAAATATAGCTATATTCTCAAAATTGATTGATCACTATACTTAATTCTTCATATGAGTATAAGTGAAGCTTTTAACACACAACATGAACCAAAACTTGAATTTAAGTAGTAAAAAACATGTTGAATTAAACATTATTTGTTATATCTAGCTCTAAAGCACAAAACCTAAGCCCAAATTCTATATTTCATGATACTTAGTGTAATTGAATTATGTAGTGTGGAAATTGAGGGTCTGGGAACCAATATTTTAAAGCCTCTAAAAAGTCATCAAAATACGCAAACTTCATCAAAAAAAGACCACATATGGAAACATAGGTATTCAAACTAACGATAAATTGCTTTCAAAAGGTCATAACTGATGTTTTGAAAGATATTGGGTTTTTAAAGGTCTTATACATTTGAGCTTTAGGGGTCTCATTTATTTCTCCCATACAAAAATTTTTGGGATCGCGAATTTTCCCAAATTTCAGACCATTTTTCCAAATTTTTAAAAAAAGTTGAGACCTCCCAGCCAAAATCGATTCGATTGCATATTTTTTGTTAGGAGCTCGAAAATTTACTATGGGAAAAACAAAAATCTCAGGTGTATGAATTTTGAATATTATTTTTTCATTTCGTATTAATTATCGACGTATTAAATTTTATATTCACTTCAGAATGAAACATCTAAATTTTTATCAAATTTCAAAATTCATTTAAAGTAAAGATCTTCTATACCAAGATATAGTTCATCAAAAACAAAGTATAATCACAATATATTTGACTTATGCTTACTGCAAAATATTTTGTGTAATTACAAGTTTAAATTCTGAGGAAATTACCACAATGATAGACGGTAAGGGACACATTACATTATATAATACATCAGTAAAATTGTATAAAATTAAACGTTATATATATGAGTAGTTAAGTTTCTGAATTTTAAAAAAGGGCTTTATGTAGGTGTAGTAAGCTTCGTGCTAGTATATTCTAGATTTTAATGACGGTCGATTGTGAGTGAACTTGGGATCAAGTAGTTTAAACTTTAATCCGTATGATATTAGCTAACGATTAACTAATAACTACTACCGTAGTCCGCACGTACATAGCTTTTGAATAATCTCGCAGCACAACACACAACACATGTACTATACGAATTTTGATTGGCATTGTTGCAAAAACCTCAAAAGTTATTTAAAGGGCTTTTTAGAATAAAATCGAGTATATTTACGAGTAAACATAATAAAGTATCGTTTATTTAATTATATTTTGATAAGGATTTTAAATATTAAGATTTGATTTCAGTAAAAGTACGACGTACGTAATGTCTAATTTAGCCTCAAGGCGAATGGTATACTACAGAATCTCAAACACCCGATCTTCCACGTTAGTAACGGACTATGTTCTTCTCAAATCAGGCGTTCTAACTTCTTGTGGAAATGTTCCAGAGCAGTCACACGAACACACAAAGACAATCTGTCAGTGAGACCCCTACCTCGTCTTGAACTTTGTGCCTACGAACCTTCAACCCCCTTCTTGATCGTTTCGTATTCGGCTTTTTGAACAAAGTACACAAAATTCACTTCTTCTGCGAAAAAACAAAATTCTGGCTAGAAAATACCACTGTGGTGTGCGGGTGCGGAAAGCTGGGTCGTCGCGAATTACTATTGCAGGGAAAAAATCCAAAACTTTGGTAGGCATTCTCAAATTAAAGGGAAAAAAGCTCAAAACAAAAAAAATAGACAATCGAAACAAGAGAGTACAGCTTTGGCGCTATCGTGTTAAGATTTATTTGAACTTCAACAATTGATTGATTTATCCCAAGGACAATCAGCCATAGAAATATACCGTGGGTGACTTACAATGGCTCCATTACTGCCCTCTGAAAGTACGGCCTATTCAGTAACACTCCCTGAACGGTCTGAAGATGATCGTTTAAATTTAAATGTGAGAACTGGTGCTGCTTCAACTTTCACAAAATCAACTGTTGTAGTACATGGTGGACTTACTACAGGATTACAACTATCATCTATCACCATTCCAGAAATTGAATTGAAATTGGAAGAGCTAGAAGAAAATGATTGGAATAAATTATTATCAAATGAAATTTTTTATTTAAATATTATAACAAGAAAGTGGGTTAGACTTGATACTGATGATACAAAACAACGTCCAAAACCAAGATTATTCCACTCAATTGCTTTCCATAAAAACTCGTTATTCTTATTCGGTGGATTAGTTTATGATGAAGGAGAGAATCAACTAGTCCCAACCAATGATTTATGGGAATTTAATACTGACCTGAAACAATGGAATTGTATTGATAATGGTTCTCGTTCAGGTGCTGTGAATAGATATGATTTGACTTTATTGAATACAGAATATATCTCACCAGAAGACCATCAGCCACATGATGCATTGATCATTGCTGGTGGTAGAAGTGACTTGAATCAAGAATTGAACCATATTACAGTTTATGACTTGGAACAAAAAAAATACGTTAACAACTCTGAAATGGACCTTAATCTTAATGAATTGAAACCAGAAAGAAGGATTAGTGATAATACTGAAGTTGACCCAAGAATCCTTAAAGATAGTGATAAAACCAAAATAACAGCTACAACTGAGCATAATTTTATCATTTCAGGTACAACTAATATAGAAAATAATAATTCCACTGCAGCAGATGACAGTCTATTTATTTATTCCTCAAATTATCCACATAGTTTTTCGAATCCTTTGGTTTCATTACCAATATCACCAAGTGGTTCAGGTATAAGATCAGATTTACATCACACCATCAAACATAATTCAAATGCAGTCCCTTGTGATTTGAGATATCCATCTGGTGGTATTTTTGGATCAAATATCTTGGTATCTGGTAATAGTATTGAAAAAAATGAGTATCAAGTTTTCTCATATAATAGACCTTCTAAAAAATGGACAAAATTGAGTATTGATTCTAAAAAGAAAGCTACTGAAATTTATTTATGGAAATGTTTTGCATGGCCATCACATCATAAAGTTTTATTACTAGGCTCTGGTATAATTCCAAAAGATCTTGTCCATCCTACTGTTCAATATTTCGATTTGATGGTTACTGTTGGTTTACCAATCACAAATATTTATCATGCATCTGCTGTCCCACAAATTGAAAATAGAAGATCTACGGGTCCAAAATCTACATCAACAATGAAAGAAAATACATCATTTGAAGCTTATTCCAAATATGCAGCACCAAGTACAAAAATATCTTCTATTAGATCTGTTTTTCCAAATTATGCTGTTGCTTTAGGAAGAAACGCGTTTGAACGTTATGGTGCTTCATTAGCAGATTTTGAATTCATTAGTGCTGATGGTGAAAAAATCAATGTACCAATCATGTTATTGAGAAAAAGATGGGGTAGATGCTTTGATATGTTATTAGCTAAAGCATACGCAAGAGCTGTTTATAAACTTGAAAATCAACAACAAGAAAACAGTGAAGGTAATTCAAGTGATACAAACTCAATGAATTCAGGATCAGTAGGAGCTACTGCAAATAAAAAATCAATGATGGTATTCAATAAAGGAACAGGAAACACAAGAGATGATAGAGATGTACCTAAGTTTAGAACTCCATTTCAAGATGCGAGATCAACACCACCAGCTTCAGCTCAACAAAGTTTGGCTCCTAACTCAAGAAAGGCATCAGTTGTCTCTGCTACAAGTAATTTATCTACAAGAACAGATTCAACAGATAATAATTCATTTACTCCAAATTTGAACTTCTCTAATTTACCTCCACAACCTCCAATTCCCAATGAACCTTTACCAGCTTTCGAGAAAACACCAAGAAGTTCCAATGCACCAACCCCATTGACACCTTTGAACAGAAATCCAAGTGGAAGTCCATTTACAAACTCACCAAGAGGTTCAGTTTCAGGTCCTACAGGAGCTGGTTCAGCTCCACCTCCCTTGGCAGCTTCAACAAGTCGTACTAAGTTGAAAGATGAAGTTAAGACACCATTACAGAACTTTAAGAAAAGAGATAACTCAAGATCTTCTAGTGTTTATACTACAGGTCGTGGGGATGATACTTCTTCAATCGCAGATACTTTTGAATCTTTGAATATTGATTCTGGAGATGATAGTAAGCTCTTACTAGAACCATTATTGATTCCAAGATCATTATATTTACCATTTGCTACAAGTACTGTTCAAGCTGTCGCTGAATTTTTATTCACGGGTCAATTAGGTGATAAATGGTTGTTTCAACCAACTACACTAGATTCTATGTTGATTGCTAAATTTTATGAAATTCCATTATTGTATGATCTGATCTCAGAAGTTTTATATGCCACAATTGGTAAAAAGGAAGAATCATTGATTAAAGAATATGGTGCATTCGTTACTGATTATCAAAATAAATTGAAATCCATTTTTAGAGAAAATGATTTTAAAATGAATACCTTTTTTGAAGAACATCCACATGTGAGAAAGATTTTTGTTGAAATTGAAAGTTATTTGAACACTGTTGATGATGGTTATCTAAATGTTACACTTCTTAGAAAAGCAAGTAAGGCTTCAACTGTATCTGTCGATAGAGAATCTGATATTTTCAAAAACCCAGAAACAGGTAAAAGAAGATCTTCAATTAGATCAAGAGCTGGTAAATCAAGTTTGTCTAAAGAAGTCAATGTTGATAATGAAGATGACGATATTGAAAATGAAGATGAAAATGAAGATGATGAGGAAGCTCAACAACAACACTCATTATTAGGTAAAGTCAATAGCAGAATTAGTGAAAAGATCAAATTCAATGAAGACTCAATGTCAAGTAAAAGTGCTAAGAAGGTTTCATCCAATTCTGATGATTATGATGATGTTGATCCAATTACGCCATTGAACAAGAACAAAGATCAATCTTCTTCAAGTAATGAACAGTTCAACCCTAAAGTTTCACAAGAATCAAAACGTTCAGAAATATATACTGATGCTAATTCTTCACCATTAAAAGAAGCTAAGGATAATGATTCTTCTCACAAAGTTACTGATGATGAAAGCATTGATCCATTAACCAAAATGGAAAGCCGTGCCACCCATGAATCACACTTATCGTCAGGTAACAAAACTGAATCAGATAATGAAGCTGCAATTCAAGTTCCTGAAGGTCGTTTCCGCATCAAAAAGAATGATCTTAATAGAGTAAAGACCAATGGTTCGACCTCAAGTGATAATGATCATAAACAATCAAGTGATAGTGAAGATGTTGGTGTTGGTTTAGGTTTATTAGATGGTGCTCAATTAAACGAGACTGCTCAAACTCCAAAACCTGCTAATGGGGAATTCATTGATGCATTGCCAGAATCAAGCTTACCGACTTTGGAGTTTATTGCATCGCCAGATTCACCTGCTCCTACTGATCAATTAATTCAAGTTATCTATGAAGTTAGTGCTTTGGCATGTGATATCAAGTTGTTATTACGTGCTGCTAATGCATTGGAAATGTCAAAAGCGTTTTATGGTAGAAAAACTGAACTTTTGAGTGAATTGAATGAATTCAGTTTGAAGCATGAGGAAGCTAGGTTACAAGAAGAACTTGCACAAAGGGAGCTAGAGAAGAAGGAACGTAAATTGAGAGAAGAAGAATCAGCTGCTAAACAAAGAGAAATTGATGCTGCAGTCGCTAAAATTGAAGTTGAAAAGAAGAGATTACAACAAGCCAAAGCTGAAGAAGCCAAAGCTCGTGAGAAAGAAGCTGAAATAGAGAGACAACAACAAAGAATCAAAAGAGCTGAAAGCACAAGTAATTTACAAGGAAGATCCTCCAGGCAGCAAAGTGTTGAGAATGATGAAGAATCAGTTACATCTGGAAGATCCAAAGGTGGCTTAAGATCTGCTTTCCATTCATTCAGATCTTTTTCAAGTATTAGTTTGACAAATTTGAATAATAAAAGACCATCACCATCACCATCTGCTGGTACATCAGATGCGAATAATTCCCAATTTTCCCAACCACCAAGATCACAATCAAGCAATACAACAAGCCAAAGTAAACCTGGAAGCACATCTTCAGACTCTTCAAGTAAATACAAGAGCATCTTTTCAGCTATTTTACCAAAGAGATCACATACATCAAAACAATAATTTTGAATAAGACCAAAATTTAAAGACAAGACAAAAAGCTTACATCTTAAAAGAGGAAATAATTAACATGGCCGGTCCATTTGTTATACCAAAAGCCCTTCTGGTATATAATTCCTTGTATAATAAAATGACACTCTCGATCACTTACCAACCAAACCATTCGATGAACTTAGTAGTTCATAAAGTTGTAGATGTAGCGACCTATTCTCCAGTTCTTGGTTAATATTTAATATGCGGAAAAGTAACGGACTCTAAATAGTTATTTGATTCGAATGCAAAATCACCATAAAACCATAAGCTAAAGCTTGAACTTCATATACGATTAAACTTTTAAAGGTATTTAAGCGTTGTGGTTGGTTGGAACTTAAAAGTAAAAAATGTTGGGTAGATACTAGAGACTGTTAAAGGCATCATTTCTGTAAAACTATACAGGATCCAGGTACAGAAAAAATTCAGATATGTGACAATTCTTGAGAAATCTCGATTGAAAGCTAATTAACACAATAGTACCAGGGCTTTAATCTTGACTTTCCATAGTGAAGTACATATTATAGAGGAAAGGAACATAATTGGGCTTGAGGTACAAAGTTCAACAATATATAATTTTCAGTTCATTAATCCCCTTCACGATTTCGAATCACTATAGATCTAATATAGCGCTTGAATGCTTACCGTGGTTAGACGCCAAATTGTCCAAGATATGAGTTCAATGTTTCAGATCACTTAACTTCTGATTGTATAACATTTCATTGCAATATGATACACAGTTCTACATAATTAGAAGGGTAATCTGCACTTAATGGTTACAACTTACCAGTCCAATTATAGATTGCATATATATTGTTGTAACCGAGAATTTAATGGATCAATTAAAAATGATCAAGGTTGGCAGTAGGCAGTAGGTGCTAGGTACGTAGCATGGTACTGTACTTACAAATTACTAGCCTTTAGGTATATTAGGTGGTCAACTTACGTAAATGTTTTTATTGAAGCATGGATATTGGAGGATTTGAGGAAACGCATCGAGTCTTAATTATAAGCTGGTTTAAGACAGCGAACGTATCACTAACTTCTTGACGAATAGATTTGTACGGTTAAGGATGTTGAAACTTAAAACTCGACATGGATTAATCTAAATTGTGACTTAAAAAGATATTTTAATACGGAGCGAAAATTCATGAAGAATGCTAATTTAAATCACGGTGGTTTCCCGAAATGTATAAATTAGTATACGCTATTAGCCTCCAACAAAGTCGATTTCAGTGTTCTGGAATCTGGACCCAAGCTCTATCATTAAAATTTTAAAATCATAGTCGTGACTCGTAAAATCTAGAGTAGTATACCTATACCTATAATACTTCCTAGTACTTGAAACTACTGTCGGTTGAAACGTTTTACGCACATAAACGTATCAAATTTGTGCCAATTGATCTGAATTCTGATTCAAATCCAGAAACAACAACTCACGAGTCACGAGTCACGACGTCACGACTCACGAGAAATAAATGCTAGAGTGGATTTTCAGAGTATTTAAAATTTAGATATTTTATTAAGCGAGATGGCACTTGGACGGACATTACATCGAGTTGATTCGATATTAGCACACGATTAGATATGATTATAGGTAGGCTCGAGAGTCGAGAGTCAAAGGCTGAAATATATCAAAAGGGTAAAGTTGATGATTCAATTAACACCAGCCAATACGATTCAATTTTGTCTCTAGCTTATTGTATCACACAGTGTGCACAGTGTACCACCTCAAGTTTATCATTAATTGTTAAAATTATCTCAACAGCTAATGATGATGAATTTCAGGTTAGATAGTTATAAAGAAATAAAGGTTAAGCAAACCCGCTTGAAAGCCTCATTACAGTGAATTTTGAAACGAAGTTAAGAATGGAACCTAGTCACGTCAATATGCTATTAATAACAGTTGAATCAATACGGTGAGTCGGTGACCACTGACTAGTTACATTCGACTATCAAGCCACAAGCGAACAAAGTAACTCTTTTATGATAATGTATCTCATCAGTTTCAACTTAACGTGCTATATAACCTTCAAATATAGTGAACCGTTCTTTTGTTGCTTCATCTTGAAACTTATAGGCACAGCTGTTCAGAGTTAACGTCTGACTAAATTTAAGCTCGAGATACTTTTACCCACTGCCTACAAGATGAGCCCGAGTAGGCAGGCCCCTGGGGAGTATCTTAAGGGACGAGGTCCCTGTAGAAGGAACAGGAAACTAAAGGGATCGATTTTCAGTGGTACGAAAAAAAACTTTCTTTGACGTACAGAAGGTGGCATTTCATGCTCAGCCTAATTCCTGGGAGAGTGAGACGCACACCAAACTTCTGCATTCTACTTTTTTGCGCAAACGGCAAGGGCGATTAATTAATTTCGAAATATTCTTCAAATAGCGGAAGAATCGGCCTTAATAAAGTAATCAAAAGAAATTCATATTTGCGCAAAATCAATATTCATAACTTCTAACTTCTATCTTCAGTGCAAATTTGCGAAATCTCATATAAATCATGCTATGATGTCAGTACTACGTAGTGTCTATATATAATTCATTAATTAAACTGGAAGGATCTGGATTCTGGAAGCTTTGAAATTGAATTGCTACAATATGCAATTGGCTTTATAGTTTGTCAATCAATTATAGCATTAGAATTTAGTAGGATCAAGAATTCCAACTAATTGCGTTATTGATGTTCAGTGTTTATCTTAGACAGATTTCTGTTCTCTGATCGAGCGTGCCATGCAAGCTGGGAATCGCGATGCTTAAGCTTTGAAGGTTGACTCGCTTATACCATTGAAAAATCATGGTGATCTCTAGAATGTCTAATTGTTAGAATGTTAACAACGTTGAGTCCTTGCGCACTATATTACTGGATTAGACGCAATACTTTCTTCTATGCTTCAGTTCAAGTTGTTTCCGAGTCAATGCTTTCAAAAACGAATTGGAATTTGAAACTATATTTACACACGATAGCACGGCTTAATATACTGAATTGTACGACGTAGTAATTTGTAAATACTGGTCGACTCTCCAGCTTATAGCAACCCCATGAGACGAGACTTTAAAGTTAGTAGATATAGCTTATGAATCAAGTGCTGACAGCTATATATGTATAGCACGACGTCGACTTGAATCGATGTTTTAAACGTCGCGAATTTTCCAAAATTCGCCATGATCACACGCGTCCTATAGATGTTGATTTTTAGATTGATTGTGGAATCTGGATCATATACAATCAATTTATTTATTCTCGAATTATTAATCAGCACAAATACTTACATAAAATGTATAATACGTAGCTAATGTTACCCATACTTCTAACTTTAAATTAAACATATATATAGAACCTCTTTCTTTCTTTCTGAACTTGGTAACTTCCGCAGGCCATTGATATAATCGATCAGTTCTAGTATTTTACGATAATATGGATACACTCAATCAACTCTCGATTTTCGTCAAGTCTCATAGAATCAGAGAGAGTTGGTCAAACTTGCGTTAGATTAGTATTTATCTAAAGAATACGTGTTTGACCGTTTGACCGTTGACGGTTGACCTTTAAAGTTTAGATAATATATAGATATCAAGCTCTCGATAATCATCTAGTACTAGCTTGAAAGTTGAGACCAGTGTCCATTATCCACCATTATAACGCTCAATCATGATACCTTTGAAGACTCCGCACTCTCTAGTAGCGCTCCATTATATCTTAATATAACGGGTGTTTTTGGCTTGACACACCAGTAATGTGATATGTAGCTAAATATTGTAGATTAATAACGAGCCATACTAGTAATATACAAGTCTAGTTTTAGAGTTTTAATATAAGAGTCTTTGATCTGGAGCAGTTGTTATTTGACGATCGCAGCTAGCAGGTTGTGTTATTTTGACTGTTGTTTACGGACATAGTTGAACAATAGTAGCTAGATAATCAAAATGCGTATAAAATTTAGACTATTAAGTTTTAACATATCATAAATATTTGTACAAATTGAATGCGTAGTTGGTACGTTGGTACTGTACTATCAAAATTAGGTTATTCAAGCTAATTCAGCATGTTTCCTGTGTATTTGTTGCAGTTACCAACTGATTTGAAAAAACGTCGAACAGTTTTTTTTGGTTCCTATGTACAGATGATGTACTTGAATCCAGACTTCATGTATTAAATTTCTAATCCAAGTTTAAAGCTCATATAAGAATACGTGATTTGAAATACCGTGAAACTTGTAAAAACAACATGAATTCGGGATTCAATATCAATAATCAAAGTTCTATATCTTACAACTTACAAGCTTTTCATATTTTAATTTCCCACTTGGAGTTTAGATCATAGATGTGGTTTTTTTCTTTTCCTGTACTTTTCATGTAGTGAAGTTTTTGTTGCTTCAAATCGACGGAGAAGTGCTTCCCCTACCTTAAATTCAATCTTCCTTTACACTGCACAAGCGAGATGATTATCCGTGCTGGGATTCAACTTCAATAAGCTGAAGCACACAAGCATAAAACGCACTATTTAATCGAGCAGTTGAAAAAAAATTTAGTATGGGATTCGGGAACTCTTGTGATCAATTAAGCAAGTTGTAAGTTGTAACTTGTTAATCGTGATTCGTGATCCTCAGGAACCTTTAGTTACGTAGTTACGTATGTACTAGCTGATTTATAATCGGTTTAATGTTACTGGGAATGAAAAACAACGTTTAACATCTGTTCAGTTAGTACACTGTTCAATGAAGCTTCTAGACGCTTTAAAACCAATCTAAACCTAGTCAAGAACATAACATGCCAATTTCATACTTTACTTTAAGGTATATCAGACTCTATTGAGTCTTGAGTAGTACCACACATGACATGAACTATGAATATCTGACATATAGTTAGATCAAAAAGTCAAATAACATTTGAAACCTTAATATTCATCATTTCACATATTTTGAGGGAACAATTAATACCCCTGTGTATTTTCCCATGGACCGTAGTTTGTAACATAGTATAGATGAAACAGTTTCATCTCGTTCAATTAACATATGACTGGACTTTATGAGTTCAAATGCAAAGTTCCTTAATACTCAAAGTCGACTCCCAAATCCTCTATAGTAGTAACACGTACACGGTACCTACTCTTCAAAGCGAAAGGTTCAATCTAGGTTTACAACGTTTTTAACATAGTTTAAGTTGATTCAGGTAGGTAAAAATTTAAGTTATGAAATAATACTTGAATACACGCGAAATAACCTTGAGTCACGAAACTAAACATGATGACCTGCGCGACTGTTCGAGATATGGTTACGACTTTTAAGTTTTGACTATTAGGTTTTAGCCTCTATTATAAATCAAATCCCCTTTACGAACAGCATGAGTTTAAGACCTTCCATGTGGATGAAGCTTTGACCATCTTTGAGATGAAACATGAATACCTGTTTAACGGTGAAACAAAGTTAAAAAAGATGATTTCATTGTGATTGAAATTGAAACTTTAGTTTATATCATATATGGTTAAAGTACGGTAATTTCGATTTTAGAACGCGCAAAATCCAAACTTGCAGGGAAAATGCAAAACTTTTTTAAAAAATCTCTATAGAAACAACTTCTATAAAATGTAACATTTCTTTTGAAACCTTTTTGCATCATGCAGTAAACCCGCTTTTTTATGATTTAAATCCCGGTCAACCTTTGAAAATTGTGCAACTTGCTAACAATGCTGGCCTTAACACAAGAAGCTTTCGCCAAATTGCCTTAATTAGTAGTTATGTTTAGCACCATGTACTTGAAATGGCTTCGCCCCTGACACAAATTGCGCAAAATTTAAGCCAATGCTCAAATACTGCGCAAACATAACGTACATTTCATATTATGCAAAAGTTACGTTAGTCGTAAAAACCACCATAAATAAATTTAATAAAAGGAAAAAGTTAGAAACTTGAGATTATTTAAAATTCATAAATAAAACTAGTTTGAATTCTCAATTTGATGTTTTCATCTTTAAAATATTTCAATTCTTTGATTTATTTTCTTTACAATTATCAATAGTTATTGATTATTCAAATCAAGTACTTATAGTCTCATTACAGATTAACACATAAAAGACAGCACGGTCCGGTTAATTTAAGATCCTGCCGTCCAGATTTTTTTGCAAAAGCTAGAAAAAGATTGTCCCTTTTCACGCCAAAGAGCCCGAACAGTGAACAGTGTACGTCTTGAAGATTTGCTTAACCTGTGAGATTGATTTCCAAGCGGTAACGTTCACATACCAGTCGTATTAGTTAAGTGTTATTTCATTCTCATACATTAGAATCTGATTGAAATTTATCAAAACTAAAAAAAAAACATCAACACATTTTGAATTTGATTTTGTATCCAGCAAAATTCAACAACTTTATCTGAACCAACAATTCAATAACCAAGTTCCTTATCCATCAGTTCTTTGCCTCAAGGTCCACTTGCTATTCCTATTTTGAACTTTCCCTTGTTGCTACTCTGCCTTACCTTTCCATTGAGTTTTTGAAACCAGCGTCAAATTAGAAAAGTTTCAAATCGAACATAAGAATTAGCATTGTTGAAAAAAGGATAAGAAAGACGTTTCAAAGTGATTATCATATTAGACATTGGTACATCCATTAGATATATTCATCACCAAGATTCTTTCAAAGTCAAGTATTGTTTCATTTCATTACAAAGTTAAATCAACAAAATCTACAATTTTGATCAACAATCACTTATACAAAAAATCTATAAACAATGAATAACAATTTTGTTGGCGCTTCAACTACCGCCCCAGGCATGAATAACTATTCTCAACCATACAATACTTATCAACAATCTCGTCCCCAACCTGGTCAACCATCTCAACAACAAAGTCCAAATCAACAACAAGCTGTTGCTCAAACTGGTGCCCAACAACAAGGGATCAACAGAGCTACTGCTCCTTATTACAACCAATATGACCAACAGCAACAACTTGGCCAACAGCAACAGCTTTATGGTGCCAACTATGGTCAACCAGGATTACAACAATATCAACAACAGCCCAACTATTATCAACAAACATCAGGTACGTCAACAGGTCAACAACCTCAAAGCAACTTGAACCAATATGGTGTTCCTCAATACAATCAATCATTCGTAAACTCATATAATCAAGGTGTACCAGGTTACCAAGCTGCTACAACTGCTTCTTATGGCTATCCTGGGTCATACCCAGCTCAACAACAAGTTGGTACAGCTCAATTCAATCCAAATGATACAAATTCTCCTTATAAAGCTAATACCCAAGTGAATCCATCAGTTCAAACTTCTGGTTCAAATATTAATATGGCAAATATCAGAGGTGGGTTACAATCTGCTACAGCACCACCATTAATTGATCCAAATCAAGTTCCTCAACGTCCGAAATTAACTACAACTTATTGGGAAGATGAAAACACAGTTTGTTATCAAGTTGAAAGTAGAGGTATTTCAGTCTCAAGACGTGAAGATACAAATTTCATTAATGGTACCAAATTGTTAAATGTTGCAGGTATGACTAGAGGTAGAAGAGATGGTATTTTAAAATCTGAAAAAGTTCGTTACGTTGTTAAAATTGGTGCCATGAACCTTAAAGGTGTTTGGATTCCTTTTGAAAGAGCTTTAGAATTAGCAAGAAATGAAGGTATAGTAGATTTATTATATCCATTATTTGTTAAAGATATTAAAGAATTATACCAAGGCCCTCAATACTCAGGTGGTTTAACCGCTGCTGCTAACAGTAATCCAAAAAACATCGTACCAGTTCAAGTTACAAATACAACATATACCCCAAGTGCTTATGCCACTAGAGAGAAAAAATTGAATCAAACTTCAACTCCAAAGGCTGAAGATGATAAGAAATCTCAAACTCAACAAACTCCAAACATAACTTCAACTGCTACTGCAAATCCAACCATTGGAGCTACATCAACAAATCCAAATCAATATCCAACTGCAACTTCACAACCCCAACAATTACCTTATGGTGCTTATTCTGGTGCTACAGCTTATCCATATTCTAACCAATACTCTTATGCTCAACCTCAAGCTGGCGCAATTGTTGATCCATCTGGTGCTTCATCAGCTCAACCTTATCCACAAGGTGCCGGTTATTACGGTTATCAACAACCCGTTGGCCAAACTGATGGTTCAGTACCAGCTTCAAATTTAGATTCTGACAAAAAGGTAGATGGTGAAGATAAAAAATAGTTTAATTACTGACTATTAGACTATTTGACTATTCTTTATCGGTTTTGATTAATATGTTCATTTTTTTTAATTAATTATAATTATGCTACTGGTTTATTAAGGTTTTGGGATATGAAGTTTAACGATTTGAAGATTTAATGTTTTTTATATTACTATTATATTATAAGAGGTTTTTTTCCATTATTTACAATAAAAATGCAACATATTTTTATACATCACTATAGGAGTTGAGTTATTTTCATCAAAAAAAAGTTCTTTTGCATATTTATGAATACATGTGTACATGATGTCATCCAAGACAATCATACATATATCATAGACACAGAATCATAGATTATTTTTGGTTTATTGCATTATTATGATAAGCAGTTATTATACCATGAAAATCATGAAGGACACATTAATATAGCGTGTCGATAACTAATGCTTTTTTCCTTTCATGTTTTCATTTTCTAGCTTTATATGCTGAAAGTTTTAAGTTTTATTTGTTTGTTTTTTGAAAGCTCAGCTAAAGTTGATAAATTTACCTACTTTGTTATTTTTATATTATTCAACACCTTCAGTTATATGAGGGTTCATTTAGTTTACTCATTGTTTTATATATGTTTCATAAGGTTATTGATTGTGTTTATATTATAGTTTAGATCCAATTTATTGTATTATATTTAAAATTTTTTATTAATTTAGATTTGCTCAAGTAGAGATCTTAAATGTTAGTGCTGCTATAATTGTATTCAACTGTACATGTTAGAATTTCGACTGCAACGTATAATACTTACAGGCGCTCGTGCAATTCAAATACATATATGTTCATTCAAATATATATAATATGCTTATTTTACATGCTTAAATAATATATAACAATCTATAATATTATAAAATTTGATCTCTCCTACCTCAAACATTCGAAAGATCAACACCACCGATTGCCCAGATTTCTCTTTCATCTTCAAATCTATCTGAGTATAAAGTTTCTTCATCACCACCTGCTGCGATTCTTTCTCTTTCAACACCAACTAATCTAACAGCAACTCTCTTGGTGTAATCACCAATTGATCTCATTTGAACAGTAGTACCAATGACAGTATTAACAGTAGTACCCTTTTCACTTGTTTCTTGGAACCATTTATTGAAACCTTCCATATTTTCATCTTCAACAAGGTTGAATAAGGCCAAATATGCCTTTTCAGCTGCCAATTTAATTGGAATGATAACATCTCTGACACAAGCAAAAACTGAAGGGGCGATAACATCCAATTGAGCCTTGAAAATTGACCCTTTTTGTCTTGAAACAGTTCTAACAACAGTCAAGGACAATCTTCTAGTATCTAATGAATTACTAGCTGGTTTCAATGTTGTGATGGCCAATTGTTTGACTAAATCACTAACCAATGGGAATGGAATATCAAATGGTTCTTCAGAAACTGGTTTAGCTTTTGGAGCAGCCTTTTCATCTTGTAATAATAAAATTTTACCAATGGCAAGAACAGAATTATCACTAATATAAGATGAAGTAGAATTTGTACCGTCAACTAAAGCAGCAACAATTTGTGGTAATAAACCATTGTTGAAAATATGGTCTGGTGCATCCTTCAAGAATGAGTTCAATGTAAGAATTGCAAACTTAGAAGAGTCACCATCATCAAATTTACTGTCTAGAACTTTAGATTTCAAGATATGTAAACCTTCATCAGCTGTTAAGATACGCGATAAAGAACCGACTAATCTGGCATATGCAACAGCTAATTTATCATCAGCTTCAAGAATTTCATCTTCAACAAGATCCAAAATGGAAGTTTTAGAAGACTCACTCATCTTTTCACCAGCTTTGGTAATAACTTCTAATAAGGCTTTCAACATAGCGGTTTTAACACCTGAATTTTCAGCATTCTTTGCACCCATAACTAATTCACTTACTAATGGATCAACTCTTGGTTGATGTTCAATCAAAGTACCTAAGGCTTTAGCAGCTCTCAAACGTAATGTTTCGTTATTAGCATCTGATAATGATTTGACAAAAGTTCTTTGCAGTTGAGGAATAAAAGCACGTAAATATTGTGGAATTTTATCGAAAATGACGTTTAAAGCATATAAGATAGCAGCTTTAACATCACTTGGGAATCTTTCACCAACAACTCTGATTAATGGACCAGTAATTTGAGTTACCAATAATCTTAAGTGAACAACTGGGGTTTTGGAAACAAGATCGGCAATACCCAATGCAGAGACTTCTCTAACATCACTACTACCATACATTAAACCATAGGAGAAAACAGGTAAAATAGAGTTTGCACCTTTTGGTAAAGTGAAACCGTACAAGTCTTGACCTGAAACACCAGTGATTTGTAATGCTTGTTTTGCTGGTTTGACCAATCTTTCCAATGATTCTTTTGGTTGTTTCTTAGTCAAAGCAGCTAAAGCAACAACAGAATGTTTGACAACTTCAGGGTCTTTATCATCAAGTGATAAAATGGATTGAGTCATCAAATCTTGTGTATAGATGCTGTAATCTAGCGTAGATTCACTGAAGAATGGGCTCAAACGTTCATAAATAATAGCACGTTTCTTTGGATCATCACCTTTAATCAAAGCGAGTAATTGTTGTAATAATGGATGTAAACCTTCATCATCTTCGACTGAAAGAATGATCTTATCAAATGATTCTTTCAAAACAGCAGCAGCTTCATCATCAACATCTTCACGGACCAATTCTTTAACTAAAGCGTTAATAACAGTAGTTAAACGTTTATATAAAGCTTTACCAGCAACTTCCGCCATAGATCCAAGAGCACGAGCTCTAAAAGCATCGATAGGTGATTCTAACAATGTAGGAATCAAAATTGGGAAAATAACTTCTGATTTTGTAGTCATGATTTCTTGAAGAGCAGCTAAGGCGTCTTCAGAGTTTGGTGATTCTAATAAGTTCAACAAGTATGGAATAATTTCATCAACAGCAACCTTACCGACAGTGTTTTGGAAAATATCAAATGCTTGAGCAGCAGATTCTCTAACTTGTGGTGAAGGATCAACAAGAGTTGATCTAATAATGTCCACAAAGATTTCTTGATACTCGTAAATTGAATCTTCATTACTAGAACCAATTAATTCATGAACAGCAATGCATGCACCTTGTTTAGCATCTGGATCACTTGTTTGTACTGATTCTTGTAATGTAGGCAATAATTGTGGTAATGCATTACCACCAACACGACGAACCAGTTCACCCAATGTTTGAGCGGCAATTTGACGTTGTTGCTCATCTCTGTTAGCCAAACGACGAATGATGATGTTTGTAAGAGTTGGTAAAATTTCTTTAACTGTACGTGGTGTATTAGCAACAAGTGATTTCCAAATATCAATAGTGGCACTACGGACAGCACCTGAAACATCTGAACGACAAATGAATAACAATGCCAAAACTCTATCACGACGTTCAACACCAAGAACATCAACCAATTGAGTATTAAGAGCACCTGAAAATTCATTTTCTTCTTCAACAAGTTCGTTTTTACCACTGATACCAGTAACTTGGAATAATAAGTCACCAGTAAGTTCAACGGAAGATTGACGAATACGGTGATTGACATCCAATAGACCCTTTTCAAGTTCTGGTAACAACAGATCAATAGCCTTACTAGCATAGTTTTTGACAATTAATCTACCTGCTCTCAATGCAGTACCACGGATACTTTCATCAGTATCAGCAAGACCGTTAAGAATAGCTGGAATGATTTGGGTAATGTAAGGAGCAAATTGAGAACCAAAACAAACTGGAATGAATAATAATAATGGCAAGTAACCTTCACGAGTAGAAGCACGAGTACTTGTTGCACCTTTCAAGATAGTAGGCAATAATTCATCCAATTTACGGATACCAATACCATTGATAACTTCAGCCAAAGCTTGAGCAGAACCCAGACGATCACCGGCTTTAGTTTCATCAGATAAAGTGTCAAGTAAACGTGGGATCAAATATGGGAATTGTTCTTCACCTAATTTCTCAACAAGTGCACCTAAAGCTCTTGCAGCAGTAGCCCTTGTATTTGGAACAGGATCAACCATAGCAATCTCCAATTCAGAAATTAATTGATGTAAGTATGGTAATAAATCTTTAGTATCAACAAGAATAGCCATATTACCAACAATTTGACAAGCTTTTCTCTTAGTGTTGGCAGATCTATCTTTCATACCACGATGAATAACATGAATGATCAATGCTAAAGATGGACCGTCAATATAATGGACGAATTGAGTTTTGATTAATGCATCGAGTGCTTCTTCAGTATGCTTAGTTGGATCACCAATAGCCTTAATCAAAACAGGAACTAATGTTTGAATTTCTGGGTTACGAATAACTTCACCAAATCTTTTCAATGACACATCAGCAGCCTTACGGACTTCCTTATGAGAATCGTTCAAAACACCAACAATTTCTGGAACAATTGTAGATAATGACGCAGATAATTGAGCTGGGTCAAGGTAAGCCATAGAACCTAACAATTCAACTGACCCTTTCTTTGTTCTCCATGAAATTTCATCTAAGTTTTCAATAGCCAAAGGAATCAACTTTTTTACACCGTAACCTGTGGTATTTTGCATCATAACTTTGGCAGTATTTGTTGTTGTATCACGAACTTCCGGAACAGCGTCACCTAAACTCTTCAAGATGATCGGTAAAACTTCAATAACATATGGTTCAAAAAATTTACCCAATGTAGAAGATAAACATTCGAATGCAATAGAAACACTTTCACGGCGTTTTGGATCTTTCTTATCATCAGCAGCATCACTCAAGTTACGAATTATATCAAATTCAGCTAAAGAACTTATACCATAACCCTTTGCCAAACCAGCAATACCATAAGCAGCACCACGTTTACGAGGATTAGTCTTAGCTTCAAAAAGAACTTTGAACAAATGTTCGATGTATCCACCAACTTTTGGTTTGAAAAGGTGAACTAATGGTGCAATAACATCTGAGATAGCCTTTTGAACCCTTTCTGATGGTGTTTCCAAAGTTTTAAGTAATCTGTCAACAATTGTACTGAGACGAGCGTCACTACTTGACAAATGTCTAGCTAATGTACCATAGAGGACAACAACGTTTTCTCTGATTGTTTCTTCAGATTTATCAGTACCCTTGGAAGCCGATAATGCAGATTCAAAAACTGGAATTAAAGTTTCAACAGTTCCAGCACCGTGTGCATCAATAATTTCAATAGCAGCATCTTTGAATTCATCAGCAACAAGTGTTTCTTGATCACCCAAAGCTCTTTTATTGATGATAAAGTTGATGAAGTCAGCAACAAGTTGTTCATCCACAAATAAATCAGCAATGAATTTAAAGGTAGTAGCAATACCATTACGATCTTCCCATGGATCCTTTTGTTCTTGTGAAGTTTTGATAACCAAACCAAACTCATCAAGTAATGGCTCTGGAGGAGTTGCTTTTTCAACATACAAGTTTTGTAATTCTTCAACAACTGATCTGAATATATCCTTTTCAAAGGCCGTTAAGCGAATAGCATCGGATAATGCTCTAGCGACTGAATAACGTAAACCACTATCAGCAACACCTAAAAATGGATATAATGATTTGATAGAATCGAAAGTGACAGATAGTTTGTTTTCCTCCCAAATAGTTGCTGCAATTTCGGCATTGTTCTCATCATTATCATGACAAGAAATCCAGATTTCATTAGAGTATGATAAATCTGATAAATCAAATTCTTGATCCAAAGCTTCTAACACAGTGTTACGAACGAAAGTTTCCGGTGAAAGAGTACCAGCCAAGAATAAATTCAAATCAGCTTCAGAATAATCAACTGAAATATGTTGACATAAAGTTAACAAGGACTCTTTTGCTAATTTAGCTTTAGATGGAAGTTGTAATAGTGATAATAAAACATTGATAATATTTTCACGAGGAATTGTAGTATTCTTGAACAATTCTGCATGTGTACCAATAATTTCAACAGCTAAATGTAATTGTTCTTCTTCTTTATCTTCTTCAACAAACTCTGACTTGGTAGCAGGTTTCTTTGAATTTTGAATAGCAACAACTTTACCTCTTTCAAGAACTTTGGTCAACAATGGTAAGGCATAAATCAAACTGAAATAGTCAAATGGCTGTTGATCAGATAAGAATTTAACACGGAATAATAATCTGGTGATCAATTCTAATAAATCTTCTTGTGACAAACGTTCTTCTGGATTTTTAACTTCGTTAACTCTTAAAGTTGCAACACCCAAGAAAAATCTCAAAGGACCTAATTTTGAGGACACTGCTTTTGATAAGTTTAAAAATGTTTCTATTGGAAAGTAGCCAACAAGCTCAGCAGTGACGTTGAGCGATAAAACTTCTAAAAGTTTATTAACAGCAGTAGCATACCAAATTGATTTACCATTATCAACAAGTTCAACATTTTTAGATAATGCATCAATAATTGTGATACCACGGTACAAATTATTTTGAACTTCTTGAATACGTTGTCTAATATTTGACTCTTTTGATAATTGTTCATTAACAATAGCTTGCTCTTCTTTAGTTAACTTCTTGGTTGCTTGTTGTTTTTTTGAAACTTCCTTTCTCAAACTTTCTTCCCATTTACGAGTTTCATAGTCTTTAGTGTTTTTGTTTTCAACAACATTCTTTTTGTTTTCTAGAACGTTGATAACTAATTCACCTTCTTTAGCTTTGTAAATAGCAAGTTCTTGTTCAGATATCTTGTTCAATCTTGATGAAGATAATCCGTCAACGATCAAGTCATTCAATAACAAAGGAACAGCTGATGGTTCAATGAATGCTAAAGTAGAAGCAGCAGCGGCAGCAGCATGGTAGATACCACTTGAGAGTTTACTTTCTTCATTAGTTGCCAAAACATCAGCAATTTGAGAAACTAGATCTTTGTGGTTCAACTTGACGATTAAACCAGGGTCAATTTGAGAGCCGAGCACCAATGAGATCCAAGAGAATCCAGTATCAACTAATGATTTATGATGTGAAACAATAACAGTATTACTCAAATGTTGGATCAAAATATCTTGTATAACATCCTTAGAATTTTGGAAAAGAGCATGAAGAACTCTAGTAGAGAATGAATAAACATAATTGAAGTTATATTCATCAGACTGTGAGCTCTTGACTAAAGCTTCATATAGTGCACTGATGACTGAATCACCAATGATAAGTTGGTTAACGGCATAAGCATCTGCTAAAAGCTTAAAGTTCAAACGGCGTAACTCTGGTGATGAATCTTTGGATAAGATAAAAGTGATCCATGATTTACCTAAAGCTGTACTTGATTCTTTGAAAGCTTTTGTAACATTGAAAAGGGATTCGACAAACCATAATTTTTCATCTTCTGAAGTGAATTTTGAATAAACTCTTGGATTCAATAAGACTGATGGTTTCTCAGTTTCAGTAATAGTTCTTGAAATAAAAGATTCAGCACCTTCTAAACTTTCAATGCTATTTGCGATCACTGAAACAACATATGGAATACTGATACCTTTGATGTTATTAGTTGGATTGGAAAAAACTTCTTCAGATGCTTGGACCAAAGCTGGGAATAATTCGGTGATAAGTTGAGTTAATGGTTCATTGATCTCTAAGTTCTTTATAGAAGAGCCCAAGTTGATAGCCCATAATCTTCTCAGTTGTAATTTAGCATCTTTCAAACCTTTCAAAACGGTAGCTTTAGCATCTGATGGAATCTCCCAACCATTCTTGACAGGAACCAAAATGTGTTTGAAAAAAGCTGTTAATAATTCATTTAATGAAATTTCATTTTGATCTTTTGAGACGAATGCAATCAACGATGAAGCAACCTTTAATGAAACCTTTTCGAATTTAATTGGGATCAAAGCTAATGATTCTGCAACTAGGGCCTTTTGTTCAGCAGCTGATAATGATTTTAAAGTTTTCAAAAATTCATCAGCAACTTTTAGCAAAACATCTTCAGTTGATTCATAAGCAATAATGACCTTATAAAGGTCCAATGCTAATTCACGAACATTTTCTTTGGAACTTTTGTATGATGAGGTTATTTGGGATAATAATTTTGACTCTGTCAAATATTTTGGCAAGTCATATGATGAAGGTAAAGATTTTAATAAATTTGATGTTAATGGAAGTGCTAAATCTGGAGATCTCAAAATTGATCTTTCTAAACTTGGAAGTAATGACTTTTCAAATTCATCTTGTGACAAAAATTTGTTGAAAAAAGGCGCAAGATCTGAAGCATTTGTCAATGGTGTTTTACTGGCCAAAACGATCTTTTTGTAATATTCATTAACGGAAGTCTTATCTTCATCAGTAAGTTGAGAAGCGTTTTTTGAAATCAAACCTAAGACTGTTATAGCACCCATAGGTAGACTGGTTGAAGTGGTCGCTGATTTGATGTATTTAGAGACTTGTGTTGATGATAATGCAGATAATGCAGATCTTGTTGATTTCAAAATTGATTTCCTTATTCTGTTTTTGTGTCTATCATCTTCACTTGTGAATTGATTGTATAATGATTCGAAAATGAATAATTGTGTAGAAGCAATTTCTTTGACAATCTTTTCAAATAAAATTTCATCGTTTGCAAAGTTAATTAAAATTGAATTAACCCAGCTTGATAAAACAACTAAATCATTAAATGCAACACATATATGCTTTGTAACAAATTTATTGAAAACTTGCAAGAATTTTGGAAGTGAATCTTTGTTCAATTGAAAAGTTTGTGTTAAAATATTGGTTGATAATTCTATGGATTTATTATCCAACAAATTGGTATAATGTCTTAACAATAGACTTTGTATTTCTGTAATTGGTTTTTCTTGTCCTTCTCTCGATTGAGACAAGAAAGACTCGACTTTGTGAAAAGCAGCGATCCTATCTTTATAGGAAGAAAGAAACAAATCCTTCTCCAAAGACGAAGATAGCAGCTCCCATGAAATACTTTCACCAGACATCTATAATTTAAATGTTAATAATTCTATTCAAACGACACATAAAACTATCAGCGCTTCATAGTAAAAGCTGCTTTCAAACGATCAAGACATACAATTGTATGAGTATAACTCAGAATTTTAATGAATCAGGACTGGATAAGCAGATTGAAGTCTTTATCTTGTAGTAATCTCTTGATATTCTATTCGCCTTCACTTGAATCTCTTCATTTTTGCCCTACGCTTTTGCTTGATTCTTCGAAAATTTTGAAAAATCGCGAATGGTCAGCGCAGCACAAAGATAATTTTCGCGCCCAGCACAAGCGCTGAACTTTTGTGAACGGTCAGTGACATTTGTGCCGCGATCTGAAGGTATAAATTTGGGCGTTGAATTTTTTTCAATTTTCTACTTCTTCACGTTGTACTTTTTTCCTTTCCTTATCAACTATTACAGTCGATGAGGATAGGTTATAGTTAATTCATCCGTTGAAGTATCTGGCTGTATGGTTCTTGGCATGAGTCCTTGTGGCTTTTTGTTGAGGGCTTTGGCGGGCGCTGTGGATTGCACCGTGGCCTTTCACCACCTTATAGCGGTGTTTATAATGTACAACTGAGGCTGTTTATAATTGATCAATTATATGTTTATTCATTGTTATACAATTCAATCAAAGTGTAGTACAATTTTACCAACCTCTCCAAGGAATATAGATGTCAACAACTTTATCATCATCATCAATCACATAATAGGCATTGTAAGAATTGGCTGTTATACAAGCATGATTTGGAACAATTTTTATTTTAGTACCAATTGGAATCAATTTAGCATCAGATCCATTTGATGGTTGTAAGATACCATGTTCTTGACTCACTCTATTAACGGCCCATTCACCGTACTTAATATCAACAATGACTTTACCAAAACCTGGAAAATTCGGTGAAACTTCTCTTGATAATGAGATCACACCAGTATTTGTTAGCAATTCACCAACTGGATGTTTTCTTCTTGGATATTGTGATATAACAGATCCTAAAACGCTAACAGCAATATTATCAATGTTAATACAACCAGTCGATGCTTGTTGTAAATCACAAATACTATAATTACCAGCATGGACTTCAATTTGAGCTTCAGTAGCTTTCACTAATTCTTCAACTTTCTTTGAAGTTTCAGTAAACAAATCATGTTCAAGTGAATGAAGAGTCGGAGTAGCTCCAACTGACCCAACCACTGTTTCCAAATCATAATCAGGAACTTTATTTTTCAATACATTTAAACCCTTAACGATGGTTTCTAGTTCTTCAAAGAAATGGGCTTCACTTTCTTCAACTGTTCTTGAATCATATGAATGACCTGCATGAACATAAAGACCAAATAATGACAGTTCTTCACTAGATATGATTTCTGATAAAACTTGACCCAAAACATAATCATCTGAGATACCAGCTCTAGCTGTACCTGCGTCCAGTTTGACAAATAATGACCATGGTGTTTTGATTTCATGTTCTCTACTGAACTTTTTCAATATTTTCAAATGTTCTATGTTATCAACAAGAAGCCTAAAATTTTTAACTTGTTTTTGTAGTTCAACAACTTTCACCAACGTATCTGGTGTAATATTTGGTAGACCATAGACGATATCGTTAACGAAAACATCACCAGTTTGAGTTTGGTGGTTCAAAATTGAAAATGCTTCTTGTAAAGTTGAAACCACAATTGAATCATACTTCTTTCCATCGTACTCTGGTAAATCATATCCCAATTGCTTTCTAGCAATTTCAATTGTCTTATGTGTCTTAACATGTGCACGGAATTTGTAATTTGTTCTTTCAAGTCTTTTCAAAGCTCTTGTTGTGTTGCCATTGATAACTGATTCCTTTATCAACAACGAAGGGGTAGGTATATCATCAACTGATCTACCCTTGTAGTGTGATAACAAGGCTTCTCTGATTTGTGGCTGAGGATACGAAACTAGAGGATTGATGAACGCCATTTTGGAGTACCACTTGTGTATGAAATATTCAAGAATGACTTTACCTAAAGTTCTTTTTCGATCAAGATCCAAAATTAATTTTATAGATTAGTGGCCCCTGGGGCTCGGTATGAAACTTGAAAGTGCACCGATCTTCGTTTTCACTAGAGTGCGGAAGATTCTTAGCTTAACAATGATCTTCTTATACTTCATGTTCAATCTGAAATAGTGGTAAGGCTTGAAGTATCGGGCTCAGACAAGAAACGAGCTACATAACTAGAGATAATTCATAGAAGTTATAAAAGCGTATATGGAAGGCTGAAGCATAAGAGCTGCTTGTTTCAATGGCGCGTGGTACAGGCGTACATGCTTAGGGATATTGCAGAAGTTAAAAGTTAAAACTAGTTATCTCCTGAATTGTTATGTAACTTGTGAGTAGCTTAGCTTCATAGAAGTACACTCATGTATTTTAAATCGCATGATGCGCTACTTTTGTATTCCGTGAATAAACAGTAAACGTATCAATATATGTTAGCATCTAAGACATGTTATATCGTAAGTGCATGCAACATGTATATGGAAATGAGATTTAATTTCACTGAACAGAGATCAGCTACTATAGCTGTTAGAGGTTCATCCGCCATAGATCTGTGTCGGGCGTCAAAATTTCAACTAATTAGCTGGCTACTTCAATGGTTTTCACAAGTTACTTCGTACCCACGATATGTATTATGCACTGAGTCTATACCTCGCGCGTTGATATTAATATATTTTACATCAGTTTGATCAATTATATATTGAAAAGTATATATAGCATCTATGATCGCTGTACAGGAAAATATTACATTAGAGGCCTTAGTCTTGACAACAAATTTTTGATCTTAAATTTATTCAAATTGATTTCTCTAGCTGGTCTCATTAATTTCCAGACAGCTGCCGATCCATAATACATTAATATTATATACATCAAGGACATGATACAATATACTAAAGATAAACAATTGAATCAAAATTTCAAATATGACAAACAGCCTTGATCAAATGTTGATATTTACTACTTTTGAACCAGAGAACATGTAACTATAGAGATACGTATAGTATATATAGATAAATTAAGACTATACATAATACATCATGTTAGAAGTTAAAGGGACAAGTTTGGGGAAATACGCTAATAAAATATTGTGAGTTTTGTTTATACTGACTGTCGATTCAAAGGCCAAAACTTGCATATAGTTGGATACTAGTTTTGTACCTAATCTAACCGATAATTATGAATGACTAGTACATAATATACATCAAGTTGTAATGGCATTCCATCCGAAAAATCGCTAATAATTATATGTATCAACAGATAGTGCTGAAATGTTCTTATATAAATTAGATCGTAAATATGACCACGATTTATAATAATTGTCTGTATTGAGCTATGCACTAGATGTAGTATGAATATATATTCGTATATATTATAATAATATATATTGTAATATAGTACTCGGCCCAAAAATCGAAAATATATTTATAAGCTCAATTAAATATACTCTAGTTATCATTGACGTTCGTGGAACTATCTAAGACGTTAAGTAGTTCTATTATATTACTCTCAATTCTTCTATAAGAACCATTATAATATAACGTAGTTGAGCTATTTAACTGAAGTAAGCTGTCGATCAATATATTGATTGATCAATTACA